GTGGCGAGGTAGCTCAGTTGGTTTGATACTCCAAGGTTGTGGGTTCAATTCCCCATCAGGGCACATATAAGAATCAATCAATGAATGCATAAATAAGTGGAACAACAATAAACATTTCTCTCTTCCTAAAATCAATGAATAACAAAAAACTTAAATAAAAAGACCTGAATTGAAAACCACAAAACTTTGCAAGTAAGTATTAGAAGAAACTACAGAATATGTAACAAAAGCTTCTTGCGATCTGAGGTATCTTGGTAAATGTCACTTCTTCATCTGTGAGATGAGGATGATTTTAGGACCTGCCTCAAAGGCACTGGGGATTTGGTATTTGAATGTATGGGGAGCACTGGAGAGAGTGCCTGGCATGTTGCTAACAGTGTATTAGAGCACACCCTTCCTCAAAATCTGATCAGCACGTTTTTATACCATAATTTCATGCATCTCAATAATCTGATAGATTTAAAAGTGTTGTTGCTATTATTTTGAATTGTTGATTACTAGTGAGGTTGACACCTGTCTTCTGTGAATTTCCTGTCCACATCCTTTGCCCATTAAAAAATTTGTTTTTATTGACTCACTAGAGGCCTGGTGCACAAATTCGTGCACAGGTGGGGTCCGGCCAGCCTGCCCCGATGAGCCCATCAGGCCTGCAGAGGGGAGGGGCCATGGGCAGTTGGCTGGCTGACCCCGGCCCCAATCAGAGTGTTGGCCGATTGCGGGCTGGGCCGGCTAGGGGGGGAGGCCTGATCGGGGCCCAGATCAGGCCGGTTGGCTGCTGCAGTGCACGTCATAGCCACCATTTGTTCCGCTGTTCCAGCTGTTCCAGTTGTTCCGCTGTTCCACACACACACACACACACACACACACACACACACTAGAGGCCCGGTGCACAAAATTAGTGCACTTGGGGGTGGGGGTCCCTCAGCCCGGCCTGCACCCTCTCACGGTCCGGGAGCCCTTGAGGGATGTCCGACTGCTGCGGAGGCAGGAGAGGCTCCTGCCACCACCACTGCACTTGCCAGCCGTGAGCCCAGCTCCTGTGTTGAGCATCTGCCCCCTGGTGGTCAGTGTGCATCATAGCGACCGGTCATTCCGCCATTGTGTTGATTTGCATATTAGCCTTTTATTATAAAGGATAAAGGATAGGAGTTGTTTATGGCTTCTGGATATTGACTCTGTTTTGGATGTATATATTTTTTCCTTTCATACTGTCATTTGTCTTAACTTTGTTGGCATCTGTTCATGGATTGATAACAGCCACTATAGATGGCAATTTGGCAATATCTATTAAAATTTAAATCAGCGGTTCTCAACCTGTGGGTCGCAACCCCTTTGGGGGTCGAACGACCCTTTCACAGGGGTCTACTAAGACCATGGGAAAACACATATATAATTACATATTGTTTTTGTGATTAATCACTATGCTTTAATTATGTTCAATTTGTAACAATGAAAATACATCCTGCATATCAGATATTTGCATTACGATTCATAACAGCAAAATTACCGTTATGAAGTACCAACAAAAATAATTTTATGGTTGGGGTCACCACAACATGAGGAACTGTATTAAAGGGTCGCGGCATTAGGAAGGTTGAGAATCACTGATTTAAATGAACAGCCTGGCCAGTGTGGTTCAGTGGTTGAGTATTGACCCATGAAGCAGGAGATCAGGGTTCGCTTCCGGGTCAATAGGGGGCATGCAGGAGGCAACTGATCAATGATTCTCTCATCATTGATGTTTCGCTCTCTCCCTCTCCTGTCCTCTGAAATCAAGAAAAACATTTTTAAAAAATTTTGTTAAATGGGCCAATAATTTGGTTTCCCTGTAGCTACGTAGAAGAATAGTCAATCTACAAAGACGCCTATTTACGGAGGTATTCACACATTTGAGCCTGGGGTGTAATGTTAAAAAAAGAAAAAAAAGACACAACCCAGGTGCTCCCCAATGGGGAATAGTTACCTTCTGGTCCACATGCCATTTGCGTGCAATGCAGTGGAATGGAGCATGCTAAAGTGGGAACGTGCTGAGTTGTAATCACAGTATGTGCCTCTTAAGACATGTCTGTAGAAACATGTATGTACATGCACAAAATTGCAGGAACGAAGTCAGAGCAAGTATAGCAACAGGTGGCCATGGTTCCCTAGGGCCACTGTGGTTAGTAAGGGGCGCTTTTTGAGCTTTATTTGTTATGTGTGGATTTTTTTACAAGGAGTAATTTTTTAAAAATATATGTTTTATTGGTTTTTTTACAGAGAGGAAGGGAGAGGGGTAGAGAGTTAGAAAAATTGATGAGAGAGAAACATCAATCAGCTGCCTCCTGCACACCCCCTACTGGGTATGTGCCCGCAACCAAGGTACATGCCCTTGACTGGAATCGAACCTGGGACCCTGGAGTCCACAGGCTGATGCTCTATCCACTGGGCCAAACCAGTTAGGGCAAGGAGTAATTTTTTTTTTAATAAGCCAGTTAGTTTCATGTGGAAGAAACTAGTTTTCCGCTGAGTTTCAGGTGAAACCCATCGGAAATATCGAGGGAGAGGAGTGTGAGTAGGTGGCTGGCAGTGGAGCCCCGAGCTCAAGTCTAACTTTTTCTCGTCTGTCCACCCTCACTCAGGTCTAGGTAACCCTTTCCCTCCTCATAAGGAAAGACAAGAAAGCACCTTTGACAGAACACCCTGAAGCTTACAGATTTTCTTAAAAATCTGGTCTCAGCCCAGCCAGTGTGGCTCAGTGGTTGAGCATCCACCCGTGAACCAGGAGGTCAGGGTTTGATTCCCGGTCAGGGCACATGCACAGGTTGCGGGCTCGATCCCCTGTGGGGGCGTGCAGGAGGCAGCTAATTAATGATATTCCTCTCTCATAGATGTTTCTATCTCTCTATCCCTCCCCCTTGCTTTCTGTAAAATCAATAAAAACATACTTTTTAAAAAGAGATGTAACTATTTTTTTAAAAATCTGGTCTCAGAACTATCAAGGACTTACAAATTAGCTAGCCAGCCATGGGTAGGACCTTGGCAGCCCTGAGGTGCCTGGGCTGTCCTTGACCCGAAATCCCCCTCCCTCTCATTTGGTCATCTCTGCTCATGTTACTCCCATTCTGGAGTCTTATTTACTGGCTATCAGGTTTCCTCTCAAAGGTCAAGGCAGAGTTTTGTGCCCGGCTGGTTGAAGGGCATGCTGGCATTTAGGGACTATTAGGAACTTTGATTTTGTGGCTGGTGACAGGTTCCTTTGCGACTGGATTAGCGGTTAATGTTATATACTTGGACCTGAAGCGATGTCAGTCTCGCCTTCCCCATGGAAAGCCAGGTCCCACTCCAGGAGAGCGTCTGGTAGGGACCTGCATGTGGGGCCTGGGTCTCCCAGGGCTGAGGTGCTGGCAACAGGCTGGACTTGGCCCCCGATGGAGAGGGAGAAGTAAGGGCACCTTGAAGGAAGCCACCAAGAGTGGCGGCAGCCTTGGCACTGGGAGACCCCTTGCTGCCTGATTTCTTCCTGTTGGTGCCAGGGGGGTTCCCAGGCCCTCTAGGACTCTGGCCTTTCGCAAGGGCAGTAGGGCTGGGCCTTTCAGGGTCTCAGGCGGCCAGGCCTACAGCAGTGTGGGGGCTCACACTTGACCCTTTTTTGTAAGTGGCGTCTGGACTTAGGAAAGTGGGAGCTCTTTCCCCCTGAATCCGGGCCAGTGGCCCAGGCACCTAGGACACGTGTCTATGTGGAATTGCTCCGGAGTGGGTAGGGGGGTGGCACAGGGGCAGGGCAGTGGGTATCCGAGGATGCACCTGACTCAGCTCAGAGCAGCTCCTCCTGCCTGCCTGCACGGCTACAGGCCCACCCTGGTATTTTGGTGGGCATTACAGAGCCACAGAGTCATCTGGCTCGGGTGCAAGCCACTGCCCTGCCCTGCCTGCCCCCAGGGGACAGCTCGCCTATAAAAGGGCTGGCAGCTCATCTCTTCTCACTGGGGGTTTGGAGAGCGGGGGGACCATGGATGTCATCAGCGTGCAGCAGTTGGTAAGGACGTGGGAAGAGGGGCAGGAGGGCAGCCAGTCATCTGGGTACCCCCAGACCTTCTCAGCAAAATGTGGAGGCAGCAGCTGCTGCTGTGTCTGAGGATGGGGCTTTCAGAGCCGAAACAGGCAGTTCTCTGGTCTGTGTGCTGGTTCTCCTGTGGGTGGTGAGAGAGCAAGAGAGGGAAGCAGTGACGTGAAAATCCTAGAGGGGAGTGAGTTTTGCCCTGGACAGGGATGGTGATGGCTAAAGAGGAACAGGAAATGGCAGGTTGTCTTGGAAAACACCACTGTAGCCGGGTCGTGGTTGAGCTCAGCTGCCGGACATCCACTGCTCTGGAAACGGGCCGGAGGCCGGCTGCCTCAGTGGGGAGGGAGGACGGTGCTCTCTAGTTCCCTGGCTGTGAGAAACGGCAGCCCAGTGGCACTTTAGGACACACTTTGGTACCACAGTGCCCAGCGGCCCCAGACATGTTAGGTGGCCAGCGTTTGCTTTGAAAGGGAATACAGTTCCCTGTGGCTGGAAGCCCCAGAAGCCCCAGGCCGGGCCGTCCTGCCATTCCAGCCTCTCCCTCTACACGCTCGGTCCTCGGTGCGCCCAGCTCCTGATGCCTGGGGTGGGCCAGGCGGGCAGGGCGGAGCACTGTGTGGGGCCTCTGCCCCAGCAGAGCTGAGCTGAGTGCTAGTTCTACACCCTTTTACTGATGAAGAAGCAGCTTTGTGAGGAGCAAAGACTGGAACCCAGGAATTCAAGCTCCCCCCCACCCCCACCCCCCACCCCCAGAGGCATCTCCTGTGCCCTGAGCTCGGGGTCGGCTGGCAGTTATGGCGTGATCTGGTAGGAATGCAAGGGAAGCTGAGGTGTCATGTGCTCCAGCTCCCCTGGACACAAGCCCAGCAGTATAAATAGACGGGGTCACACCCCATCCCGTGCCCTTGCTGGCAGGGCAGGGCAGGGCAGGCGGAGTTGGTGAGAGCCAGCAGCAACCCTGCATCGAGAGTTTTGAAAAGGGTGAGCTCTTGTCGGACCCCCCACTGCACAGCTGGGCTCTCTAAGGAAAGGACGGCTCCTAATTGTCTTCTTCATCCATTCCCTGTCCCTACAGGTAAGTGGAGAAAGAGAAGGAAGGAAAGTGTTGGGATATGGACATGGAATTCCTGATCCTGGAGGCTGGCCAGGAGACTGGAGGCTGGGACCCCATGAGGCCGTGGCCCAGGAGAGGCAGAGGCTGGAAGAGGAGAAGAGGAGGAGAGTGAGTGAGGCGGGTGGCCCTGGCGGGGGGCAGGCCCAGAGCCGGGAGGGCCTGGAGAGCGGGCGTGCTGGTAGCCGGGGCGCTGGTGTTTCTGCGGTGGGTGGGTGGGAGCGTCCTGATGAGAACAAGAAGCCTGCCCCCTGGCAGATGGCTGCATGGTCTTCTGTCTTCTGCCCCAGCTTGAGAGATTTAAGAGTTCCAGAATTAATCTAGAGAATCTGGCTGACTTGGAAAACTTGGTTCAGAGACGAAGAGAAAAGCGATTGAAACGCAGAGTCCCCCCCAGGACACCTGAGCCCGTGGTTAAGGTGGGTGAGAAGTCGGACGGGGGTGGGGAGTAGGGCTTGAGTTCTGAGGAAGAGCTTCCGCACCCGTGGGAGGGCTTGGGGAAGAGGGGGCACTGCCAGCCACGCCTGAGTGGCAGTGACTGCCCAGCTGCACAGACTGAGGGGGAGCCCTGCCTGTGCTCTGGAGTCTGAGGTCAGGGGGAGGCCGGGTCTGCCCCCCGAGCCCCTGGGGGCTGCGGCCATCGTGCTGTTCCCTTGCTTGTGGCCACATCACCCGACGTCCGCCTCATGTCCACATGGCCTTCTCCCTGTGCATGGCTCTGCTCCCAATGTCCCCTTTCTGTAAGGACACCAGTTACACTGGCTTAGGGCCCACCTGCACCCTGAGCCCTCACCTGCACGACAGCTGCAGTGACGGTTACAGATAAGGTCACATCTGAGGTTCTGGGGGACAGGACTTCCAACATATGAACTGGGGGTGCGGAGCACAAGTCAACCCATAACCCCCACCCACCCCACCAGCTATCTGGCCAGAATCTACTGAGATAAGTTTTTGAAAACCTGTCATTTGTACAAGCCAAGTGCCTCTGTGGGGACCACTTGGTGTGACCAGTGAAGCGGTGGTGTCCCTGCAGCCTGCAGCGTGCAATTGACTTGCTCTTGGCCCTGACTCACCAGCCCCAGGCCCAGCCCCAGGCCCAACCAGGGCCCGTGGATCTCGAGGCGTTCCTGAAGGCAGCGGCTGAGAACCAGGAGGCCCTGATTGACAAGTACCTGGCGGACGGAGGGGACCCCGATGCCCACGACAAGGTAGCGAGGGAGGCGAATTGGAGAGCAGCTCAGCAGCTGCAGGAGTGCCATCGGGGTGCTCCAGTCCAGCCTAGGGGACCACAGGCTTTTCCGTATGGGACACAAATCCCAGGGGCCCCCTGAGCCGGGAGGGAGGGGCTCTTTGCATGATTAAGGAGCAGGTAGCTCTCTCTGCAGGGCACCAACTCTGGGAATGGGGTGGGGGTGGGAGTGGGACTCTAGAGGTGGCCCTGTTCCCCCAGCTTCCCCTCCCGTCTCCACCACCAGCTCCACCGCAGGGCCTTGCACTGGGCCTGCCTGAAGGGCCACAGCCAGCTTGTGAACAAGCTGCTGGAGGCAGGGGCCGCTGTGGACACGCGTGACTTGGTGAGAATCGGGGGAGGCTCCCCTCCCGGCAGAGGCTGAGCCCGGCGTGCGGTGCCTCACACTTCAGCGCTTTTGTTTTGCAGCTGGACAGGACACCTGTGTTCTGGGCCTGCCGTGGAGGACACCTGGACATCCTCAAACAGCTGCTTAACCACGGAGCCCAGGTCAACGCACGGGACAAGGTGAGGGCACGCCAGAGGGCGGCCTGTTGGGGCTGACTTCCTGGAGGAAGCACAGCCCTGGGGTGGGGGCGAAGCCTGCCCCTCAGGAGTGACGCTGTCCCTCGTGCCCTTAGATCTGGAGCACCCCCCTGCACGTGGCCGTGCGCACGGGGCACTGCGAGTGCCTGGAGCACCTCATCGCGTGCGGGGCCCACATTGACGCGCAGGACAAGGTCGGCGCTGGTTTGGGGCAGCTCCGGCTCAGGCAGGAGGAGGATGTCCCCTTTTTGAGGATACGTTTACTAAAGCTGGGGACAGTGAAACGAGGGCTTAGGGTAGAAGCAGCAACCGGGGAACGCCGAGGTGGGGCTGCTCTAGCACCCTGGGAAGTCAGAGAGCAGGGGACCTTGGGGACAGATTCGGGGGTGAGTCAGGTAAGAGCTGCTGCTGCCCACTGCTCCCCCGGTTGCACATCTAGCGGGGTCCCTGCGAGTCTAGGAGATGCGTTCCTGTCGGGGAGAGCACCGATGCCCCCCTTCTCGACAGGAAGGAGACACAGCTCTGCACGAGGCTGTGCGACACGGCCACTACAGAGCCATGAAGATGCTGCTACTCTACGGAGCCCAGCTGGGCGTGCGGAACCAGGCGAGTCCCAGCAGGCCCCGCACCCAGGAAGGCAGGGGGGGGCGCTAAGGGGAAAGGACTGACCCAGCCACCTTGTTCCCAGGCTTCAGCGACCCCCGTGCAGCTGGCCCGCGACTGGCAGCGGGCCATCCGGGAGGCTCTGCAGGCCTACCAAGGGCATCCCCGCAGCCGGTGCTGACGACAGCCGCCCGCCGCCGCCCAGCCACCATCCCCGTTCTCCCCATCACGTGTCTGCCGTGCTGACCTCAGGCCTCCAGGGCAGGCAGTCCTGTCAGCTCAGCCCGGCCGCAGGCAGAGGAGCAGCTGCCCGAGGGCCCGAGCCAGGACAGGCTGAAGCAGGACCCGGAGGCCCAGACGGGACAGTGGAGCTGGGAGCTCGGACGGCCACGAAGCCGAGGAAGCTCAGCCTCCAGCTCCCAGGGCTGCGCTCCGAGGAGACTGCTCGTGCCCCTCCCTCCCGCGGGCATTTCCTGCCGGGTGGGAATTTCGCAGCTGCCAGTGCCCGTGGGTGGGTCTCTCAGCGACTCCGCTCCTGTCAGCAGGTGTCTGGAGTGGCTCTGGTGTCTGGACGGGGCTGCTCAGCAGGTCTGAGGCCCCATAGCAGAAGTCCAGTGCCAGCCTGGTTGCCACAGGAGCCCCAAGACTGAGGAGCTGGAGCCAGTACTGAGAGAACCTGCGCCCGCTGTCTAAAGGCTGCGGTCAGGCCTGCCCGCTGCTCTGCAGGGGTCAGCTGGTAGCTCTCCTGGTGACGGCGAAGCGCCTGGGTGCTGGGGTTGCTTGTGGCCCACTCAGCTTTTGGGGCGGTGGCCCGTAACCCTCCTTTGCCTCAGGTGCTAATGCTGCCCTGGCACTGGAGCTCTTATACGTACCCTGCAGCTGTCGCCTCTGCCACCTCCGCAGGGCACCGCGGGTTCTGAGCACCGCCGTGAAGGGACGCAGAGGAGCACGCCTGCCCTGCGCTGGCTGGCGCACGTTTAGGGCCCAACTCCACACACTCTCCAAATGGACCCTCCCCTTCCACTGTCCCTGGCACTTCCAGTTGTGCTGGTGTGGACGTGCTCCTGGCAGGGCTGGGTCTTCAGTGCCAGGAAGTGAGCCTTGAGGAGCTCAGCCCTGACCCGAGAGCTGTAGGCCGAGGGGCAGCTCCAAGGTGAAGGGCCGGCCTCCCTCCCACATGTGCGGCACCTGGGCAGACACTGTGCCAAGCAGTTACTTCTAAGCTGGTGGCCTTCTCAGGCCAAGACCAAGGCTCTTCTTATTGTGTGAAAAAGCCGACTAGAGCCCACACCTTCCCTTCCCTTGGCGGCCCCTGCCCTGGGGGACAGAGCCAGCACTCACCAGATGCTGGGGCCATGGGAGGAGCAGGGACTCTAGTCCACGGAGAAGACGACTCCCCACCCAGAAAACGGGGACACTTAAGTGACAGACAACAGTACCTTTTTATACGCGTCAATATGTTCATTAAAATAGGCTGGTCATCCATCCGGTCTAGTGTGTGCTGGGCTGGAAGCAGCGAGGCCATCAGGCCCTGGGCCAGCCTGTTAACCACGCCACAGTGGACCGCGAGGTAGGCCCCATGCACACTGGGCAGTCTGGGCCCTTGGCCATCATGCTCAAGGCATCTCTACTCATGGATGGACAGGTTCAAAAAGCAGTGGTTCTCAGCCTTTGGCTGCTTATTAGAATCACAGGGAAAGCTTTAGAAGTCCTAATATCCAGACAACTCAATCAGAGTCCCTGGGTGGGACCCAGATGTTAGCATTGTCATGCAGACCACACACTGGTCCATGCAGGAAATCCTAAAGAACCCACAAAACCTCCTAGAATAAGAGTTCGGCAAGATCTCGGGATGTAAGGTAAACATACAAAACCCTATTTCCACATATTAACAAGGACCATGTGATCACCACAATGAAAACCTAAGTACTGCCCTGGCCGGTGGCTCGGCTGGTTGGAGTGTCCTATACACCCAAAGGTTACAGTTCGATTCCCGGTCTGGGCACCTACCTAGGTTGCAGTTTTCATTCCTAGTCGGGACACATACAGGAGGCAACCAATCAATATTTCTCTCTTTCCCTCTCTTTCAAATCAATAAGTATGTCCTCAGGTGAATATTAAAAAATAAAATCAATAAACCATACCCTTGGTGAGGATAAAAGAAAGTACCATTTACAATTGCTTCTAAAAATAAAGTACTTAATTGTAAATATAACAAAATACATAAGGACTTATATGCCAAAAGCTACAAAACACTAATGAATGAAACCAACCAAGAGTTAAATGGAGACTTACGGTGTTCATGGACTACGAGATGGAACACAGCAATGATTTCAATTCTCCCCGAATTGATATACAGATTTAATGCAGTTCCTGCCAAAACCCCAGGAAGATATTTTATAAAGGTAGATAAGATTATTTTTAAACTTATAGCTAAATCAATTTTGAGAAAGAATAAAGTGGAAGGAGTCTACCAGATTTCAGAACTCATTACAGGCATACGTCGGAGATAGCAAAGGTTTGGTTCCACACTGCAGTAAAGTGAACTGTAACCTTGATGGTGGAAGGTCTGGCCTTCCATTTGTCGGCCATGCAGCACCTGTGGCGAGCAATAAGATGAAGCGCAATAAAACGAGGTGTGTCTGTGTGCAGTCTCCGGAATCAGTGTGGTACTGATAGACACACAGATCAACAGTACAGAATACACAATCCAGAAATAGGCACAATATGCCCAAGTGACTTTCTACAATGATGCAAGGTTTAACCAGTTAACTGCCACGGTATTTTGAATTTAATTTAAAAAGGTCCGCTGCTTGAGTCGATAGACACTTATGGTGCACGAATGGTTAATTCATGAAGGAGAGACAAAGGTGCTGGAGCAACTGGACATCTATAGGCTAAAAAAAGTTACCAGGCAGACAACTAACAAAAAAGGATTCCTGGTCAACGTCCACACACACACCTGAGATCCGCACACGAGACACTGAGGGTGGGTGTCCCACAGCGAGGGGAGGCAGGATGGGGAGGACGGGGAGGGGCCACAGATGCAGTCGGCACCCACCATGGCCCCAGCTGATTCAAGAACGGGAAGGAGTCGGGCTGCTCCCCTCACGAAACGGCAGAGGGCAGAGGCCACGCTGCCACCTGAGTGGGTGACAGAGCGGAGGTGAGGTACGGCCATGTGGCAGCCGCACTCAAACCTGCCCGCCCCCACCTGCTGCAGCCCAGCTCACCCGGGAGTGGAGGAGCCAGGGGCAGCCCAAAGGGTGGAATGGGCACAAGTGACATTCCCGCCTGAGCAGCAGGCTCCCACTACAGCTAACCTGGGCTGCGACCTGGCACAGCAGTGTCGCAGCTGCAGCAGACCGGTGGTCACCATTACTAGCAAGAAGGCAAAACTTCAGACTTGTGAACCCGCCTCCCCCCACCCTTACCACCCATCATGGTGGAACCTGGTGTGGAGACACCTCAGATGGCAGCCTCTGGTTACAAAGAGGCAGCACTGGGGACTCACAGGCCTGGAGCCCAATAGCCCATCACAGGATGGTACCGAGACTGAGGAAACCCAGACACGGAGGGGACACCAAACTCCTTGGCAGGCAACACTGCCCCGAGGTCCCAGGAGCCAGTAGAGCGGTAAGAGACCGAAAACTTGCAATATAGCGCCATCTAGTGGAAAACAAGAGAAAGACCTATACTTACCGCCCTGCAGAATTGTGAGCAAAACAGTACCTAGGAGTTCACCGACTGGCGTGCCCAGGCAGAGAACAACCAACCCATCAAGCACCATGAATAACCACAGCGACAAGGTAGCTCAGAAAGAAAAGTCTCTAGAAACAAACTCCAAGACAACTGAAGACTATAATTTAAATGACAGAATTCGATTGCAATTATGAAAAAAACTCAGGCAGTTCAATGAGCCAAGGAACAAAATCTACAAATGAAAGAACTTTATCAGAGAGACGGAAACTATAAAAAGAAACAAAACAGAAATTCTGGAGCTGAAGAATGAATCAGAAAGATGGGAAAGAGCAGACCACATGGAAGACAGAATTGGGGAGCTCAACGATAGAAATCTAGAAATGGCTCCGGTGGCAGAGAACTGAGTGTGAAACAATGAAAGAACCTCCTGCCTCCATTAGAGAGCGACAAGGGCACTGGGAATACCAGAGGAGAGACGAGCAGAGGGAACAGGCTGATTCAACCAAATAACTGAGGAGAACTCACCAAACCTATCAAAGGGCTGGACCCTCAAATTCAAGAAGCGAACAGAGCTCATGTTGTCTTTAATGTGAATATTCTGCCCTGCTGCCTTTCTATCCTGTTACAAACCCACTGCACTGGCTCTCCCTCCTGGGAGCACACCGTGCCTCTCCCTGCCACCTTCCCACCCCCCACCCCCCACCCCGCTCCTTACCATTAGTTCCTCACTCCCAAGCTCCACCGGCCCTGCCTTTACCTCTATAATTGTTTCTTAAGCCCATTTCTTCTAGGAATTACTTTTTCTACCTCTGCACGTTACCCAGTAAATGTACTCTTACAAAAAAAACCCCCAACTTAGTTGAGATATAATTTGCATGCGGTTACAATGCACCATTTTCAGAATACATGAGTTTTGACAAATGTATATTCCCATGTAATTACAACCACAAAACAAAAACAACAAAAAAAACAGAACATCTTCCAAACTGCGCTCCCACACCCCTTTGCAGTCACCCACCAGCCCTCAGGCCCCAGCGGGGGGCTTGTTTCCTGTCACTCTAGGTTACTCTTTTTTAAAAAAAAACTGTATTTGTATTGAATTCAGGTGAGGGAGAGCGGAGGGGGAGGGAGAGGAACATTAATGGTGAGAGAGAATCATTGATCAGCTGCCTCCTGCAAGCCCCCTACTGGGCATCGAGCCTGCAACTCAGGCATGTGCCCTGACCAGGAATCGAACCGTGACCTCCTAGGTCACCAACCACTGAGCTACGCCGGCCAGGCACTATAGGCTACTTTTGCCTCTTCTGGAATTTCATATAAATGGAATCATACAGGAGGGAAAAAAAGAAGCTAACAGAACGCCTAATTGTGTCAATGCAAAAACACCTTCAGGACACCTTATTAAAACTGTCAGAAGTTAATGACAAAAAAAAAAAAATTCCAGGGGGGAAAAAGATTGTAACCTACAAACCAGGAGAGAATGGAGTAAAATATTTAAAATATTGAGACAGAACCTGGCTATGATGATCACCTGAACACTGCCTCCTTGTCATTCCTTCTTCGCCAACTCTGTCCACATCTTTGGGAACCCCTGGATCCCAACATCTGGTGACCGAACAGAGACCCTTAGTTCTTTACAGGACCCCTCACCAGCTCTGTTAATTTACAAACAAATTATCTATACCAAAAATAGGGATATGTCTTCTGGCACTACTGTTAAATCCTTATTAAGAAGTAGATGAGGAGAAACCAAGATGGCGGCATAGGTTAACGCCGGAGATTGCTGCCTCGAACAACCACTTCAAAAAACAACTAAAAGACGGAACGAACATCATCCAGAACCACAGGAACGCTGGCTGAGTGGAAATTCTACAACTAGGAGGAAAGAGAATATCATACCCAGACTCAGAGGAGGCGCAGTGCTGAAGTGAAATACTAAGGTGCGGAGTGCACGCGGAGCGGGCTGGAGGCGGAGGGCGCGGTTGTTGTTTTCAATCGGGAGGGAGTTTCAGACTCTGAGCTCCAGATCCGGGCGAGTCTCTAGGGATCTGGACTCAAGCGGGAGAAGCGGGACTGTCTGGCTTCGGTCGGAACTCGAAGGCAGCTTTCTCTCCGAGGTTTGCAGCGGTTGCTGGGACTCTGTGAGGCAGAGCCCCTAGGGACGGAACTGAGAGCAGCCATAACTGCTTGCTCCGGCCTGCCCTGTAGATCCCCGGGGACCCGCCCCGCCCAAGCCCTGCGCAGAGCCATTTGCCAGATAGCCTCAGGCAAACGCTACATTAGCACCACCCTAGAGATCCCGCACAGAAGCTCTCCCACTGCAGACACAGCGGACTCTCATAGCCAGTTGGCCTGGAGGTCAAATCACCCCCGGTATTGCTGACAACAATCAAGGCTTAACTACAAGACTGCGCACAAAGACCACTAGGGGGTGCACCAAGAAAGCATAAAAAATGCGGAGACAAAGAAACAGGACAAAACTGTCAATGGAGGATATTGAGTTCAGAACACTTTTAAGGTCTCTTAAGAACTGTCTAGAAGCTGCTGATAAATGTAGTGAGATCCTCAAGAAATCTAATGAGACCCTCGATGTTATGATAAAGAACCAACTAGAAATTAAGCATACACGGACTGAAATAACGAATACTATACAGACTCCCAACAGCAGACCAGAGGAGCGCAAGAATCAAGGCAAAGATTTGAAATGCGAAGAAGCAAAAAACACCCAACCAGAAAAGCAAAATGAAAAAAGAATCCGAAAATACGAAGATAGTGTAAGGAGCCTCTGGGACAGCTTCAAGCGTACCAACATCAGAATTATAGGGGTGCCAGAAGATGAGAGAGACCAAGATATTGAAAACCTATTTGAAGAAATAATGACAGAAAACTTCCCCCACCTGGTGAAAGAAATAGACTTACAGGTCCAAGAAGTGCAGAGAACCCCAAACAAAAGGAATCCAAAGAGGACCACACCAAGACACATCATAATTAAAATGCCAAGAGCAAAAGACAAAGAGAGAATCTTAAAAGCAGCAAGAGAAAGAAACTCAGTTACCTACAAGGGAGTACCCATACGACTGTAAGCTGATTTCTCAACAGAAACTTTGCAGGCCAGAAGGGAGTGGCAAGAAATATTCAAAGTGATGAATGCCAAGAACCTACAACCAAGATTACTTTATCCAGCAAAGCTATCATTCAGAATTGAAGGTCAGATAAAGAGCTTCACAGATAAGAAAAAGCTAAAGGAGCTCGTCACCACCAAACCAGTATTATATGAAATGCTGAAAGGTATCCTTTAAGAAGAGGAAGAAGAAGAAAAAGGTAAAGATACAAATTATGAACAACAAATACACATCTATCAATAAGTGAATCTAAGAATCAAGTGAATAAATAATCTGATGAACAGAATGAACTGGTGATTATAATAGAATCAGGGACATAGAAAGGGAATGGACTGACTATTCTTGGGGGGGGGGGGAGGGGTGTGGGAGATGCGGGACGAGACTGGACAAAAATCGTGCACCTATGGATGAGGACAGTGGGTGGGGAGTGAGGGCGGAGGGTGGGGCGGGAACTGGGAGGAGGGGAGCTATGGGGGGAAAAAAGAGGAACAAATGTAATAATCTGAACAATAAAGATTTAATTAAAAAAAATATATTGAAAGAGAAACCACCAGCCAGGAATATATCCAACAAAGTTAGCCTTTAGATCTGAAGGGTAAAATAAAGCAATAAAGGCTTTTTCTGACAAACAAAAGCTGAGGAACTTTACCACCACAAGACCTGCATTACAAGAAATGTTTAGAGGAGCTCTTCTACCGGAAACAAAAAGATGATAGTGATTTAAAACTGTTGAGCCCTGGTCAGGTAGCTCAGCTGGTTAGAGCGTCGTCTTGATATGCCACGGCGGCAGGTTCAATTCCAGTCAGGGAGTCAGCCAATGAACATACATAAGTAAGTGGAACAACAAATCTGTGTTTCTTTCTCTCTCTCCCTTCCTCTCTCTCTAAAGTCAATCAATAAAAACTTTTGAATAAGAAGAAAAATGGATAGACAGAAGAAACTGCAACTCTATTTTAGAATATAGTATTGAACAAATATGACATAAAGGTTAAAGGGGAAAGGGTACTTGAAAGAGAGACTATAACTGCAATTCGGAAATGAGCACATCATAAAAAGGGATGTTGCCGAAGCCGGTTTGGCTCAGTGGATAGAGCGTCGGCCTGCGGACTGAAAGGTCCCGGGTTCGATTCCGGTCAAGGGCATGTACTTGGGTTGCGGGCACATCCCCAGTGGGAGATGTGCAGGAGGCAGCTGATCGATGTTTCTCTCTCCAATGTTTCTAACTATCTCTCTCCCTTCCTCTCTGTAAAAAATCAATAAAATATATTTTTAAAAAAAAAGGGGGGGGATGCTTTGTGACAACAAAACCATAAAGGAGGACAACTGAACTTACACAGGTGAGTGGAGCCGCAATCAGAAGGAAAAGAACTAGGGTAAGCGTGGAACTTTCATTTTACATAAACCCAACGGTAACCACAAAACAGCTCCAGAGCTGAGACACGGAAACCACCAAGCTAAAATAGCAGACAGAAGACACAGGATAAAACGGCTGTAGTTAAGTCCTCACAAATCAGCAATCATCCCAAATGTAAATGCACTGAGCTCACCCATCAAAAGGCACAGAGTATCAGAATGGGTTAAAAACAAGACCCAACTCTATGTTGCCTTCAGGAGACCCTTGATACTCCAAGCAATGGCATCCAAAGTGGGAGTAGCTGTACTTACACCAAACAAAATAGATTTCAAGATAAAAAAGTTATTAGAGCTCTAGCCAGTTTGGCTCAGTAGATAGAGCATCAACCCATGAACTGAAGGGCCGTGGGTTCTGGTCTAAGGCACGTACCTCGTACCTCGGTTGCAGGCTTGATCCCTAGCCCCGGTTGGGGAAAGTACGGGAGGCAACCAATCAATGTGTCTCTCACATCCATGTTTCTCTCTCTCTCTCCCCCTCCCTTCCGCTCTTTCTCTAAATCAATGGAAAAATATCCTTGGGTGAGGATTAACAAACAGGTTATTAGAGACCAAAAATAGATAGTATAATGATAAAGGAGACAATTAATTAGGAATTAACACTGATCAATGTATATGCACCCATCCCAGCCAGTGAGGCTCAGTGGTTGAGTGTCAATCTATGAACCAGGAGGTCACAGTTCCATTATGACCACATGCCCAGTTCCACACGCCCGGGTTGTGGGCTCAATCCCCAGTGTGGAGCGTGCAGGAGACAGCTGATCAATAACTCTCATCACTGATGTTTCTCCCTCCCTCTCCCTTCCTCTCTGAAATTAATAAAAATATATTTTTTGGTAAAAAAAGATACCTAAGAGACAAATGAAAATGACAATATAACACACCAAAATATTTGGGATGCAGCAAAGTGGCTCTAAAAGGAAAGATTATAGCATTACAGGCCTATCTCGAGAAACATGAAAAAAACTCAAATAATCTAACATTAAACCTTAAAGAATTTTTAAAAAAGAAAAGCAGTCAGAAGGAAGGAAATAAAAATTAGAGTGAAAATGAAATAGAGAACAAAAAGAAATAGAATAAAATTGTCAAATTTCTGGCTAAATTATGGAAAAGAGAGAAAAGACTCAATAAAATCTTAAATGAAAGAGATGTTACAATGAACACAACAGAAATACAAGTATCATAGAAGAACTAGAGGCCCAGTGCACGGATTTGTGCACCAGTGGGGTCCGTCGGCCTGGCCTGCAGGGATCGGGCCAAAACTGACTCTCCGACACCCCCCGAGGGGTCCCAAATTGCGAGGGCGGTTCTCAGGCGATGCACCCCGGAATCGGGCTCCCTCCTCTCTGGTTCCAGGTGCATCACCTGAGAACCGCAGCTGCCAAGTCACTGCAGCTCAGCAGCTCCTGTGTTGAGTGTCTGACCCCTGGTGGTCAGTGCGCATCATAGCTACCAGTCGGACAGTCGGATGGTTGCTTAGGTTTTTATATATATATACACACACACACACACACACACACACACACACACACACACACACACTAGAGGCCTGGTGCACGGATTTGTGCACTGGTGGGGTGCCTCAGCCTGGCCTGAGCCCTCTTGCAATCCAGGACCCCGCGGGGGATGTTGGACTGCTGGTTTCCCGATCCCGGCAGTCTGACATCCCCCGAGGGAGGTAGTGCTAGAAGCGGCCGGCGGCCAGGGAGGAGCCCAAGCCCAGGCTGGGCACCGCTCCCACTCATCCCGGCTCCGCTGCGCCTGCCGCCGCCGCCGCCGCTCAATAAGCTCATTGAGCAGTGTTCTTGCTGTGGGAGCACATTGACCACCAGGGGGCAGCTCCTGCTTTGAGCATCTGCCCCCTGGTGGTCAGTGTGCATCATAGCGACCAGTCAAACGGTTGACTGGTCGCTTAGGGTTCTAGATAGATTAGATAGT